GCAGGGGGGTTCATCTGATGCAGCGGCAAGAATAGAAAGGCAAAAAAGGCCGCGCTGCCCATTGACTTTCCCGTTTCTCGACACACACCCCCGCCTGTCCGCCCGCCCGCCATTCGATCAAGGCAAAGGTTTCCGAAATGTCTCGAGGAGGCATGTTCAGATCGTGGCACGTCTGTGGCTGTCTCTGCCTTCGGAGGCACCGGTGGGACGGTGGGGATCGGAAGCCACGGATGGGGCTGCTGGCGGGAGTGAGGGCACTGCCGGCATCCTGCAGGTGTCTCTTGTGTCTCCTGTATATGCACAGTCACAGACAGGCGGGTCGGGTTGTGGCGGCGCGACTTCGTGGACGTGGCTTGTGCCAACACCTAGCGATGCAACTTCGCCCGCCCCCCTCCGCGGGGAAATTTGAGGCGGCTACCCTCGTACGAAGCTGGAAACAGCACTTCGTATTTACTTAACGCTGCGTAGAAGTTCAAAAGCGCTTAACATACACTCTCATGCTTTAATCCCTACAACAACCCAGTAAAGTAGGTCTATTATTATCACCTTTTTGCAGAGGAGATTGACCTGGAGAGAAGGCGAGCTAACCTGAGGTCACCCCCAGCAATCCTGTGCACATAGCAAAGGAAATCCTATTATGTTCAGTAGAGCACAATCTCAAATAGGTTCCTGTAGGATTCCCTCCACCCCACCCCAAGAATTCACTATATAGAGGAGTAACACCTAGAACCAGGCTTACCTGATTTACAGCTCTTGTCTTCCTAGCCAACCTGCTCAGAAGATTAGTAATGCAAATACGTACCTCCGTTAACCAAAATGTGCATCCACATTACAAATACCTCCCCTCCCCTCTCCTCTCCTCTCCGACATTAATAATGATCCCACGAGGAATTTCAGCAGTGTCAAAAGCAATTTTATTCTGGTCCAGCAAAATCCTACTTTGCCTGATACTCGAACCATCCAATAATTTTCTAAATAATGCATCTTAAGGCACCATTTGAATGTATCAGGAAGACGGTAGGTCTCAGCTTCATCACACTTCTTATTTTTAGAAAAGGTGTTATCGAGCAAAGAAGTCTCGCTGAGAGTAAGTAGCGCCATCACAGTGTATCTGGAATTAGTGATTGTCTGATGCCACTTAGTTACTTTAGAGGTCAGCCCGTTGAAACTAAACAGAAAAACAGTAGGATTAAAAACATTTCCTGGTTTTTAAAAAAATAGATTTGCAACTTTTAATGTAGTGAAGTTACAGGATGAATGGAGATATAATTAGAAGTATTATAAACTTCAAAAAAAATGAAACTTGATCATATTGATTTATACAGTTCTCAGCAACAGTGAAAAACAAAATATAGCTGCGGCATCTTTAGAATACCATTTTGTCCCTGGTATGAGCTTTCAAGGTTTACAGTCCACTTCTTCAGATATGTGGATCAGCAAGCTCCCCATCAGCTCCTTTTTTTGCTTTTCTCACTATGCACGGACTCAACACATGAACCACCAGATCATCATCCTAGAACTGCAGAGCTGGGAGGGACCCTATGGATCGTTGAGTCCAGCCTCTGTCAAGGAGGCACAGATGGGGGGGAACTGAAGCCCCAAACCAACCTCTGTCGCCACAGCCAGAGACCTAAACCACTGAGCTATCCAGCAGTTCACTCACATAGGAAGAATAAGATCAAGACCTCTCACCATCATACAGCGGCCCATTTTTAACTTCTGCACAGTTAGTCCAGGATGTGAAAAGGCCCCACACAGGAACAAAAATTCCTGTCAGTTACAGCACTTGTGAAGAGCTTACGTTTTCAGAGCACAACTCACAGAAACCCACTGCCAGCAAGGCCAGGCCGGCTGCGAGATACTAAAAGATGTAGCCTGGAAAGTAAATTTCCTAGGTTCTGATAGAGTGGACATTCTGTCAGCGTGTCTAAATTCTTGGGCAGAGGAATAAAGGTTTGCTATCGCCACATACTGACCAAGCAATCTTAAGAGAAAAACAGAGAGCAAGAAAGCAAGGGACCTAGATTTCACACAAGGAGGAAAAACTGGTTACATCTTCAGTTGCAGGTTTTGAAGCACAAGATTGATTCCTTAACATTGGTTTTTGATTACAATGCCATGCATCTTCTCTGAGACACAAAATGCCACCCAGACATAAAGACACAGCAAGAGGAACCATGTTGAGGGTTTTGATAGAGAACAGGCAGTTGCCATGGAGATAAGCAGTGCACCAGCACAGGTGCCAAGCTGCAGCAGGCGTGGTATTTTTGGACCAGCCTATGGAGAACGAGAAACTCACATCTGTCCAAGTGCTGCCATGTATGTCGCTATGCCTTATCATGAGGCCACAATTCTATACCTACTTACCTGTGCACAAGGCCCTTGGAGCTTAGTGAGACTTATTTCTGAATTGACATGGATAAAGTTGCATTGCTTCCACAAAACAGAACCATGCTTTGTGCTGGAGCTCTACTGTGTCTTAAGACAGATGTTCTGTCTCTTAAGTAAGCTCTTCTCCCAAATGCCCCCTCCTGGGTTGAAGCCCCTGGATCAGGAATTCAGCTTCCCGCTGGGCCTCCTGTAAGAAGGGCCAGCCTCTGTGGCCTCTTGCAGGCTACAAGAATTCCCCCAGAGAAAAGGGAATAGTAAACCACTTCAGAGTACTCCATACCTAGAAAATCCCAAGAAGAGTCCGCAGAAGTCAGAAATGACTTGACAGGATGCAATTATTACTGGTAACATTCTGAGAAGAATTATTGAGACCTTCTTTTCAATGGTAGAATTCCAGAGGCTTGCCTGGTGCCTGTTTTATATACCACAGGATAGCAAATGCAGATTTTTTTAAAAAAAATCTGCCTGATTTTAAGAGGTTTTTCAGGGGATTTAGCTATTTAAGAATTAAGAGATTTTGAAAGTGTTTAAGATCTGCTTGTTCTGTAATACTTTAATGAAAGTGACTGTTTATATTGGTTTTATTGGTTTTATGTTTTTCATGTTGCATTAGTATTTTTCTAATTGTATATTTACAGGTGCTAAACTGCTATTTTTTAAAAAAAATCTTTAAATTGATATATATAATTTATTTGTTTTTTTTAAAAAAATAGCAGTTTAGAACAAAATAAATAACAATAGACCAGTTCAACATCAAAGTTTCTCTCATAAGAAGCATGTGCAATTTTTGCAAGAAGAAACTATCATGTATCCCTGTGTTATTTTTTTTTTACAACTACCGGGGTAGCAGGGATGGGAGTATTGGCTGTGTACCCCAAATTTACACATTACGAAAAATTTCTCTTGCCATAGTTTTTGCAAGAAGAAACTATCATATATCACTGTGTTCTTTTTTTTTTTTTACAACTACTGGGGTAGCAGGGATGGGAGTATTGGCTGTGTACCCCAAATGTACACATTGCGAAAAATTTCTATTGCCATAAATCCTGCTACTTGGTTCAGACGGTGCCACAGTGCAACTGCGAAATAGACAATAATGCTCTGCTTGAAGTCTTCTCCTTTTTCCTCCACTGTTCCAAATTACATAATTTTTTTCCAAATTGGGAAATGCTACATGTGTCCAAACCATTGGATATCACTGGTCTAGTGCATTTATATACTGGATCTTGGCCGAGAAAGGAGACAAGGAGAGACAGCGAGGGGCATTTTTCCTTTTCTTTGGCTTATTTATTTAGTCCAGTCAACCTGCACCCAAATCCACTGCTGAGTAGCTTCATGTCACTTCCCACTTCTGGGAGGAAGTTTTCTAATTTTAAATGTTTTTTAAATAAACAACTGATTGCATCTAAAAAACATTTTCCCCTCTGCCCTTCACGGAGGAGCAGAGGAAGTGTTTAATTTGTCAATATCCTGAAGTGGCTCTCTTCTTAAGCCACTTCACAGTATTTGGTTCATTTCCAGCAATCAAGCATGCTGGAAGCCTGCTTGAACAGCCAAGTTTTCAGTTGGCTTTTGAAAATGCCCAGCGAGGGTGCCAGCAGAATTTCAGTGAAGGAGAAAGGAGACAAGAGGAGACAACGAGGGGCATTTTTCCTTTTCTTTGGCTTGTTGTAAAAGTCCAGTCAACCTGCACCCAAATCCACTGCTGAGTAGCTTCATGTCACTTCCCACTTCTGGGAGGAAGTTTTCTAATTTTAAATGTTTTTTAAATAAACAACTGATTGCATCTAAAAAACATTTTCCCCTCTGCCCTTCACGGAGGAGCAGAGGAAGTGTTTAATTTGTCAATATCCTGAAGTGGCTCTCTTCTTAAGCCACTTCACAGTATGACAAATTGACAGTGGAAGGAGCCTTGACAGCTGAAGGCTTACTTTGGTTCATTTCCAGCAATCAAGCATGCTGGAAATAAACCAAGATGGAGCAAACCTACATGCATCAGAAAAGTAGAGGCCTTTGATAGGGATCCAGGAAGGTACAGGTAGGAGCACTCTGGGGATGGACTGCTTTGCTTCAGCAATTAAATTGTATAATTGCCGGGAAAAGGTGCAAAACAATCTGTCCCTATAGTGGGCTAAATGCCCATGTGATCACACCTTTAGTTTGTCTGTACAAATGTGATTCCATTTTCCTCTCTCGGTAGAACAGTATGGTATTTCAGCGGATATTTATTTCAGGCAACATGGAAAATACAGCTATAAGTGTTTGATTCTCTGAAAGCACAGCTAGGAAA